GTTTCCACCCGCGCCTCCCACAGGGCAGGCGAAGCCCAGAGGCGCCCGCCCAAGGCGGCAGCCTGCTTGGACTCCTACCCCAGAGCTCTGGACCGCCCACTGATGCCCGAGAAAGCTGCTCCCAGGAGCTGTTTCAGCGATTCTGAGTTTTTCAAGAAATCGTGGCTTCCAATTTTTCGGAGAAGGGGTGTTCGTTCTTTTATAGCGCCCATACTTGGCAGTTTAGCAGGCGACAGCCTACCCGGCCCCATCCCCCCAAGTTGAGGGTATCAGCTTATTCTGCTCCCAAAGCCGGGTGATCCGTGTACCCCGGGACTTCCCCATACTCGGAGGTGGGGCGGGAGGGGGCCCTGGCAGCCTGCCCTGTCCTTGGAAGACGGGTGGGGGTGCGGAGGACGCAAGGGCGCAGAGAAGGCGACAGCCAGCTCCTCCACAGCAGAGCTGAGTCCTAGGCTTCCACTTGTCCCTCTCAACTGTGGGCAAACGCCTGTCTCCTCTCCCCTCGGGACCAGGTGCACAGGAATGCAGGGGCGGGCGTGAGGCCATAGCTGGTGCATGAGGAAGGCCGAGGACCAACTTCACGTACTGGGGCCACAGGCTACCTGGCCCCGATCTTCAACTTCTTTGGGGTTGACTGGGCCAGAAAGTGTTCCAGGGCCCCTTGGCTGCTCTGTGCAGCGGGCTGTCTTCAGGGGGAGCGGTCTCATGAATCAGGCCAGTACGTACTGGCAACCTGGTCTGGTCTGAGTGAAAAAAACAGGAATTCCAGAGTCTCAAGAAACTAAAAGATTATCATCACTTTACGATAAAGGGGGAAAACATGGCATCAACTAACGCAGCCTCAGGCCCCACCAAGACACTACAGATGTTCAGAGAGGCTTGAGCTGTGGAGCCTGCAACAGGGCTTCTCTCCAGGGCAGTGGACAGAAGTGTGGGTAACATCCCTGATGCGGCCCTGCACACTCACCTGAGCCAGCAGTGCCAGGAATGACAGGCAGCACTGTGCAGCCATCCCGCTCCCCCAGTGCAGATGAGGTGGCGTCCAGGCCTCCCGGCTCATCTGGAGCCTAGGAAGGGGCTGGTTTAGCCGAGGGTCCAAAGGAGAAACGACTCTCAGACTGGTTTGTGCAAATGTTTTGTTTATTTCCACATTTATATCACAAGGTGTCCACTTACTGGACCAAATAGCAAAGTTGCTCCCTTCTATGTCCTGAGAACACAGAAGTCTAGGTACTGTACATTCACTAAGGCTCCTTGTTTTTGCAAATCGCGTTTATGACAAATAACCATAAGGCAAACGAATCTAAAGGAATGGTTATGAGTGTTCCCAGCGCAGACAGTCTCCCTCCTCACCCCAGCACAGCTCGAACGCCAGTAGCACCTGCACTTGGTGGTGTTTGGCTGGTTGTTGGGGAGGCTCTAGAAAGGTGACGTTTTCTAGGTGTGTGCAGGAAGGGAAAAGGAAAGAAGAGAGGAAAAAGGAATTTGGCTGGTGGTCGGTCAGCTGGAAGAGGGGATGAAAATAAACTTGAGAAAACAAATTTCTGCAGCATTTCTTTAAGAACAGGGTTCAACCAAAACAAGACGGGAATGGGTGGGTGCCCCGTATAGAGTGTGGGTTAAGCCGGCCGGCCGGCCCACCCACCCAAGGCCAGTGCTTACAGACGGGGCTGCGCAGAGAGCAGAGGCAGATCTGCCGGGCTGAGGCCAGCCCACCGCCTCACGGACACTGGGCCGAGCTCAGGAACAGAAAAGGCAAGAAGACATGAGATGCGTGTGCCTGTCGCTGTTACAGGTAACCTCTCCCACAGCCATCCTGTGCCTGCCTGCAGCGCGGGGACTGACGCCTGTTGAGCTGGTTGCTATAGAGTTCTGACTCCCTTGGCCATCCTTCCTTTGCAATCGTGTTAGTAGACCGGTAGCAGCATTTCACAAAAGAAGGAGCAAGTGGAGGGAAAGGCCAGGAGACCCCGCGCTCCTCCCCTCCCACCCAGGCCGCCTGCAAGGTGGGAATGCATTTCGGGGCGCGGGCCCCCTCAGTCCAAGCAGACATAAGGCAGAACGTTCAACCGCCCGTCATCGCCGTGCGGGTCGAGCGATATGCACTGTGTCCAGTCATACCAGTTACCCTGTGTGTCCTGACACCCGTTCACCCCCGGCCACTGGCCAGCCTCCAGTCGGTCCAGATCACCCTGCGTCACCTCGCGGCTCAGCCCCGGGAGGTCAGTGGGCGGCGGGTGGGGCACCAGCACGTGCGGCTGCCGGGCCCCGCGCCGCGTGCTCTCCTCCTGCCGCAGGTACTCGGCCATGAAGTGGTGCGCCCCTGGGGTCTGCGCGCCCGAGGATGACAGCAGGCTGCTCTGGCGGCTCAGGTATGACTGGATGATCTCATTGCGTGACAGCTCCTTCCAGTTTGTCTGCTCAAAGGGGCTCTGGAGGTTGGCCTTGGCCTCCTGCTGGTCCAGCTCTGTCCTGGGCGGCTGCTCCGTGTGCACGGGGCTGTCGGCCCTCAGTGGCTCTTTCTGGGTCAGAGGTTTGATCTGTCTTGTCATGGGGTCAAAGGTGAGCTTGCGCTCTTTTAACCGCACGGGCTTGACACCCGCCTCGGCCACCTGCCCGTCCAAGTTCACTGTGTAGTCGCGCGGCCGGTACCTCTTTTTCTTTCTGCTGTCCGAGCCCCCCGAGGAGGCCGCGTCACTGTCCGCCTTGGAGGAGTCTGGGGAGAAGCCCGCCCGCGGCAGGTGTGGCTCGGCAGGGGGCAGCCCAGCCTTGCAGCCAGGGCCTGCCAGCCGCTGGTGGCCCTCTGGCTGC